ATCATCATCATCATCATCATTGTCATCACCACCACCACCCTCATCATCATCATCATCACCACCACCACCCTCATCATCATCATCATCACCACCAACATCATCATCATCATCACCATCATCATCATCATCACCACCATCATCATCACCACCACCACCACCCTCATCATCATCACCAACATCATCATCATCATCACCACCATCATCATCACCACCAACATCATCACCATTATCATCATCATCATCATCATCATAACCACCATCATCATCATCATTGTCATCACCACCACCACCACCCTCATCATCATCATTGTCATCACCACCACCACCCTCATCATCATCACCACCACCATCATCATCACCATCATCATCACCACCACCATCACCACCATCATCATCATCACCATCATCATCATGTTGGATAATGTCTCCCACTCCATACATAAAGCTGGTGCTGAACTGGAGAGCTCTGGGGGCGTTATCACAGATCCTTCTTCCCAGCTGCTAGAGACTCTATAACCACCACTGTTCCCAACAACCTCAATCAGTTGTTCCATTCATGCTGATTTTTGCACAGTTTCGACCTGCTGCTGTTATTTTGCACATCTCTGCTGTTGCTTCTATTTTCACAAACATGGGAGTGGTGACCTAGTGGTTGGGGCATAGAGCTTGGAATCTCTGTTGTTGCTGCAGATACAGAGTATTTATATTGTAAAACTTGTTCTGTTTTTACCTTTCAGCCTTTATTGTCATTACACTGTCACAAGTACAGAGCAATGAAATGAACTCTCTGCATTTAACCCATCCCCTTGGGGAGCAGTGGGCTGCCATTGTGCGGCGCCCAGGGTGCAGCTTTGGGTTTAGGATCTTGCTTAGGGACCCAGAGTTGCAGTCTATGGGAGTGGGGATTCAACTCAGAACCTCTGGATTCCAACACAACGCCCTAACCACTAGGCCGCCAACTCTCCCAGACAAAACCCTGTATAGTAAAATACTCTATTTGTTTCGTTTTCCTATTTCATTATCATACACTTTTCCAAGGTCCACATTGTGTGCTCATTTCTACTATAACATTTTGCTGCTGTAAACACCACAATTTCCCCATTTCAGGACATTAAAGGGATTTTCTGTTCTATTTTATTCTATTGAGCTGAAAAACAAGCCGCAGTAGGAAGTTGGTAAAAAACTTTACAATAAACACAAAACTAAATGCTTTCTTGGTCACCGGCTTTATAACAAATAAAAAGGGTAAACAATAAAGCTTGGTGAGCCCAGCTAGCCGCTCTTTTTTAAAATAATAACGCTTGATCCAATTCTTCAGAACCTTAAATGGCAGATTAGACTTCTGCAACCGCACACATCAAATGTCAATTTGGTCTAGTCGTGAACCAGGTTTGCTGGTATGCTTCTGCACCGTTGGTCTGGAATTTCTAGAGACGCACAGCAGTTTCCCGCCAAAGTGCAAGCCGCAGCCTATTCGAGAACTTGCGAGAAATTAGGCGGATGGTCACGAGTTTTACTTCCGAACCTCCTCGATTAACCTTTCGGCGTAGTTGTCCATTGTAGTTCCTCGGTTTAAAAAAATGGTGCTCCCCGGCATCAAATCAAGACGACCATACAGACAGCCGGAAAGGCATACCAAGGACCAATCACAGCTGCTTTTTCTCTGCGCAGTTCCGCTTGAGGTCTGTGCAGGTTTGTGACTGCCGACGCGTAGTCAGGACTTTTTTGAGGTGCGCGACAACGGTTGCAGAACAGAGTCAGATTTGACGGTTGCAGAGGGTATGCGTCAGAAGCATAAATTGGCCTTAAAGGACAGCAAGACCGTAAAGCTCCAGCCATCTACATCTGCTTTAATCTCTGTCTCGTCCTTTTATCGCCTGGTTTGGGTGGAAACATGAGTGATTGGAGACTGCACATCACTCTGAACACGCTGTCCCTGCAGAGACACGGTTGGTGGCAGTGTCATGGTGTGGTGAGGTGCTAAGTCTAACCATCCAAACTAGCAAATATAAAATTGCTCCTTTATAAATATTAATTATATCTCTGAATGAAAGAAAGCCTGGAAGTTCTGCTCTCCTCTGAAAGCGTTAATTAAAAGGAGAACACGGCCTGGTCTGGGATGTCGGCTTGTTGTTCAACTCCGGATATCTGATTCCGAAGGAGCAAACACAAAAGCAATGGGCCTTTCATGCACGCTTCTTAAAATACTGCTCTGAGAATGGACGTAGGGACGCAATACTCTGGTACAGACACCCTAGAGAATGTGAGGTCACAGCACATGGCATCCTAACACCGTCTGCATGTTTAGGATGCTGGGAGCACGAGCTAAAAGCATCCGTGGCTAATGCTTGTCGGGTCGATGTCAGGGTCAAACCTTGGAGGCATGCATGTCTGCAAATGCGCTGATACACTTTACAACAAATACAGAAGATAAATGACTTGTAACCAAAAGGTGAGAGCAAGGTTTGCATTTCACAAAGTGAGGATTTCTTTACCTCTGACCTGCAGGAATAAAAACCTCCCGGTGTTGTGAGAGCCAAGAACAGCTTCTTTTGACTAATGACTGGTTCAATAGCCAGTATCCCCTCTGCAGCCCATAAACAGCATTCTCTCTCCAGAAAACATGTGTCCTGGCACAGTCTGCACACACAGCTGCCCCCTGAAACACTGATTTTCCCATCATCCATTTGCTGCACAAATGCATTACTTTACGTTTCCTCAGAATGCAGTAAGGGAAGTGGGTAGAGTGCCTCGGCCCTCGCGCTTTAAAGCTGGTAACACCCTCAGAAAAGATCAAATCCAGTCAGGCTGTCTGTGGTCAAACAGCAGACAACAACAAATGTCCTGCAGAGATGTCAGCTGAACTGATAATTACACACATACATTTCTGAGGTGTAGGAAGCGCTCCAGGTAGGATTATTCAAACTGTCCTGGAATCACCATGCTTTTACACATTACATTTCTCTGTGTTGTTAGGGTGATTTACTGACTGAAATATTTTTAAAAAACTAACTTCAAAACATTGTAACCACAGCTGATAGAGTTCTAAAGGAGTCATGGCCCAAAAATCTGACTTTTTTATGATAAAATTTTTGTGCTGGTGTTGGGCTTCAGTTAAATCTGGTCCTGCCCCAGGATTAACGTCTATACTGGAAGCCTGCCTTGCCATCACCACTACTGAGTCTATTCCACCAAAAGCAGTGATAAACAGTCTCTATTCACTCATAGCAATCACATTCACTCATGCTGCCCCATGCAGACGCTCTGTCTGCACTAATGAAGTTTTACTTACCTCAGCATTCCTAAAGACGGCCGTACACTGTGCCATTTTTTCGATCGTTGCACGCAGCTACAGCTCACACTGTATGACACAACCACAGGGTTTCGTCATACAGTGTGAGTTCACAGCTCACAATGTTTGTTCTCACACGGCGCGACCCGACGCTCTGATGCGATCTACCTGCTCTAACTGTATGTCTAAAACCAGGTGGGACTCAGCTCCGCAGTGAAATGGCGCTACTCAGGATTTGTATATTCGGAAGCCAAACGAGTAGAAGAGGAATATGAAGCTCACTTGAGTGAAACGCGTTGCCTTGGCAATTTGAGCAATTTTGTGCTGAAAGCCCTAAAAAGAAAAGCCGACGACGTATTTGGACAAAAACATGGCTGAGCAAACGTGGCTACTACGGTCTGTCAATTTTACAGAAAGAACTCCATTTCACTCGCATCACTCGAAGAGGAATCCTCGTTTACGCGATTTGCCCACGATTCCTGATCAGGAGGTGGTCGTGAGAGGCTGATCGGCCCTCGTTACCCCCTGTACATTAAACGACTCACTGAAAGTTGGATGAAAGTCAGCGCGATCGGAAAATTCTTGCACGACTGGATAGTCACCCCGAAAAGGGCAAAAAATATTGCATAGTGTATGCCCGGTTTAATGTTGCCAGTGGCTCCAACTGACAGCAACTCTACATACATTTTGATTAATCCAACTAATATTTATTTGACCATTTGGGGGTTCTCATAGAGTATTGAATTTTTCACGCTTAGAGACCAAAAAACCTTTCAGATGCTGAACCTAAAAGCTGTGCGACACCAGGCCAGCTCAGAGACATCGTCCGTCCAGTGTGTCCTGGTCCTTCCACCAGGCCTCCTCCCAATGGGACATGTCTGGAACACCTCCTGATGGAGGCGACCAGGAGGCATCCGGAACAGATGCCCGAGCCTCCTCAGCTGGATCCTTTCGACGTGGAGGAGCAGCGGCTCTACTCCGAGCTCATCCCGGGTATCTGAGCTCCTCACCCCATCTGGAAGGGTGCGCCCAGCCTCCCTGTGAAGGAAACTCATTTGACTGATTGTATTTGCGATCTTGTCCTTTCGGTTTTTACCCAGATGTCATGCCACAGGTGAGGGTGGGAACGTAGATCAATCGGTAGATCTAGAGCTTTGCCCCCGGACTCAGCTAGAGCATGAGATTGAGGTTAAAATCACAACCAGGTCAAGATGTCTGAAAGCTTGAGGAAAATCTTTAATGGTTCCTTTCAGAGAATATAAAGAAACTTTGTAATTAAAAGACATTTTCCTGAATGTAGCGGGATTTTTTTTTTTTTAAGATTTGAGTTTGTAATTAAGTTAGATATATAAATAAATATGTTTCTATGAGACAAGTATGAGCAATCTTTACAGGTTTTATACATGCAACCTTTAAGTTTAAACAAAAAATCTAAGAAATATTAAAACCAGTCTGAACCTTCGATTAGAGCAGAAATGCTTCAATAAGTTCTATCAACCAGACTCCTGGAAGCACCGACTTTTATGTGCAGGATGTGCTTCTGCCAAGAATGTCTGCATCTCATGTGATGCTCAGAAGACGGGCAGATGGGAAATGAGTTAGTTATTGTTGGAAAGTTTTTCTTGGAGAGTCCCGTCAGACGAGTGTGAATGAAATCAGGTTTTCTCTCTAGCAGCGGCGTTTTGTAGCATGGTTAAATGACATTCACCTGTTAATGAGGGTTCCAAACAGCAGCCTGACGGTCCTCTGGATGTTTTCAGAACACAACCAGCTCCAGTGCTCCTTCAGCAGAAGACACAGGATGTTCAGGGCTACCTCAGCCAGGGACATCTCAGATGACGAGTCTGAAACACATGAAAAAGTTCAGAATATGGAAGATAAGCGACTGACAGGAGATCTGATGGAAAAAAAATGCATGATATTCGGAATCAAAGGATGGATGCTGCAGCCCTGATAGGTTTATGTACACTGCCCTCCTGTGGTGAAGCTTTAACATTGCAAGGTGTGATGCACAGTCAATAAGAAAGAAGAAATGTTCAAACTTGTTTTATACTCTAACTCAGGGTGGTCAGAGGAAGTCATTCAAAGATCCTAAATGCTTCATGTCATCATAGTCAGACTACCAGCACAGACTGGATTCTGTGGAATGGAGGCTGCTATCCTTGAAATAGTTGCTTTCTTGCTTTAGCAGTGGTCACCATTTTGAAAGAGTTAATTCAACATCACTGGTTTTCAAATTAAAACAGCTCCACAGATGGGAAGCTGCAGCCGTAAAGAAGGTATGGCTTTCTGGATCATCAAAAACTTCTTGTTAGGCGGCTCTGATGGCCAAAAGAGTCCAGCAAGTGCGCTTAAGGAGGGGTGATCAACAAAATCAGGATTCCACCAGTGCAGAGCTTACCCTAGAGACCATAAGGCCAACTCCACTGGCAGCTAACAACAGATTTTTGGACTCTTCTGTCATTAAAAGAATCAAGAAAATAATACAATTCTGCAGCAAGGATAAAGACTGATAGAAAATGTATTCATCCGAAGAAAACAAATCAATTAGAACCAATTTCAGTGGAGCCACATGATCCAACCCATGTTCAGGTATGCCTCTAATTCCAGTAATGTGCAGATTTAAGAGCTTAACCTTGATTAAAGAGAAAAACTCTTAGATGTACTTCTTCCAACAATCCACCAAAAATGTGGCAATGCTGCAGCACTGAGCAGCAACGTGGCACTAGGAAAATAAAGTGGCTCAAAGATCAAAACAAAAAATGTTTGGACTAATGTTTACCAGCCTAATGATGCATTTGAGAAGCTGAGGTCAGCTCTCCAAATGCAGGTAGACTAACAAGAAACTGGATCATCTCAAAGCACTAAGATGACACTACATGGTCCAAAACAACAAGACTAGAGAGAGTTTAGTGAGTTCTAACATAAAGTGTTTTCTTTCTCATATTCATATTTCATATTTAAATGTCAAATAATTCTGGCATAAACATGTATATAAATGTAGTCTTTATCAGACGATATTGTCCCAAAATTTAGAAAATGTATATTTTTTTCAAATTCTGTCTTAAAATCTGTGGGTGTTTTTTCATTATCCTATGCAGGCCAGTTAGTTCTACGTCAGCCTGAACACCTAAATTCGTCCAATCATATATCAACGATCATCTGTCAATCACACTTTTCGGTCATCTTGATTAATTTGTCGCAGCTAATATACGCAACGATTGATATAAGAATTCAGAATCCTTTCCTTTCCCATTGAGTTGCGTCCCAGTGTTCACGGGGATGGACGTCTGTGTCTTCGGCAGACGTAGAGCTAATAGACCTGGCAGCGTTACGAGGCAAGGGCTCAAACATGTACGGCTGGAAGCCTTCTACACCAAACCAAGCTTCTGCCGCCCTGACGTCCTCTTCCACTACATCTTCATTTTTCTTTCTGGTGTTTTATGGGTACTATTTAATGAAGATGCCAGTTGGGGACCTGTGAGGCGTCTGTTTCTCAAACTACAGACTCTAATGTACTTATCTTCTTGCTCAGTTGTGCAACGCGGCCTCGCACTTCTTTTTCTACTCTGGTTACAGCCTGTTTGTGCTGTCCTCTGAAGGGAGTAATACCCACCGTTGTAGGAAATCTTCAATTTCTAAGCAATTTCTCGCATGGAATAGCCTTTATTTCTAAGAACAAGAATAGACTGTCGAGTTTCAGATGAAAGTTCTCTTTTTCTGGCCGTATAATTGACCCCATAAAATGTTATGCTCCAGTCATTTACCACATTAGCAATGTATAGAGTGTATTTCTTTAAGGTTAAGACTAGTTTAAAGTTATCTTCATTGAAAAGAACAGTGCTTTTCCGTCAAAAATAAGGACATTTCAATGTGACCACAAACTTTTGAACGGTAGTGTATACACATACATGCATACAGACTAGTGTTGCACCGGTACCGATATACGTATAAGGCGGGGCGCCCGATCCAGCCCTAAAATGGTGGTATCAGTACGTACATATTAAATATATACATTTACATATATACATTTACATACATATATATATATATATATATATACACACACAGATATACATCTACATTTATATATACATATACATATGTATGTGTATTGTGTGATTATTTTTTTTCATACAGATTGATGTGTATGTACATGTAGTTTCGTCATTTGAAATTAATATAAAATACATAACAGTGAAGTAATTTTTTTCTATATTCCAAATGTTTATTTACAGTATAAATGTTAATTTACTAAAGTTATCTCTTTTAGTAATTCTAAATGGATATATATCATATCTCTAGTAGGTTTTAAACTGTTTTTACATTTTAAATTTTGTGGTGCTGGTGCTTAGGTCTCCACACTAAACCTAAATATATATTTTTATGAGGTTGAGTTTAATTCTCTAAATAAATCTGGAAATTACAATCTGTAAGTAAAGGTGCCTTGAGTTTGATTTAGACGTGTGAGGAGGATGAGAGGCACGGCCTGGAAATAACCCATGCAGATCAGGGAGAGATTTAGGAGAGCTGGAAGAAGGGCAGAGGAGTCAGGAATGTTTTCAGGAGCCAAACGATGCTAATAAGTCCATCCTGGAATAGCAAGAAGCTGGAGGAGAGAAGCTAACTCTCTGTTTAGGTGCATGTTAGCAGTGTGGACCAGCCTGCTGATTCTTCAGCAAAGAAATCAACCCTGGACCAGTGGATGCTAAAGACGACTGTGCAGCACTTCTTCCAGACTTGGACCCCAGATCACTCTGTAGATCAGGGATGACCAATCTGAGGCTCAGGGGCCATTTCAATCATTTTCACCATAAAGACCGAACGTTTGGACACCGCTGCTGCAAATTAAAGCACCTTCTTCCAGAGGCTTTGGGACAAAGACAGCAGGTGATTATACCTGATGCTAAGCAGTGTTCAACTCCCTGTTTATGCTACCTTTATATCGTAAAATGTGTCACTTAGGGCTTTGTATTGAAGCCAGAACTTTTCTATTAATGATAATGATTCACACACTGCAAAAACTGGACTAAATGTAGGTGCATTTTCTTAAAATAGGCATATCTACTCTTGGTTTTCTAGTTAAAAAGTGAACTAATCTTCCACTAAATAAGAATTTAGCACAAAAGACCAGAAGTTTTTTCTCATATTTTTTTCTCTAAGAGCTGGGTTTTTATACCAATGGGGAAAATACACTTATTTCAAGATGTGTTTTATTTGCATTTATTATTTTAGTTTAGAGCATCTGAACAGCTGAATTAAGAAAATAAGATGAGACAATCCCATCATTTAATCAACTCACAACATTTTTTAAACAGAAAGACCCATGGCCGTGGGAAGTGGGGGTGCTGCAGCACCCTCTAGTGGTGACAGGGAGATTTAATAAACATGTATTACAACTAGTTTCTTATGAATATTTTGTGAACTGATTTTGCCTTTTTTTATTTTACTATTACGTGTATTTGGATTTGAATTTAATTATTTTGAGGCCCAATCAACACAATTTCATGGAAGTTACGTTGCCATGGCAACGTCAGGCAAGCTAGAGCTTGGTATCCCGAAACAAGGAGCTGGAAATTTTTGTGTGTTAAGTTTACGTGATTTGTACTGATAAATAAGGAAGAGACTAAAGAATTTATGTGAAAAAAGAACATTTCCACATCTAAAAATGTTCAGCAAGCCGGTCAAACAGGAAGGAAAGGGACAGGAGAGAGGCCAGGATGAGTCACCAAAGGGGCTTTTTAGAGAAATGTTGAAACACTGGGAGTTTCAGATTCAAGTTTTTATTCTATCTAAATTTCTAAGGACAGGGGCCTACATTCCTTCTCCGCAATGTTTGACTGTTTGTTTGAGTTATTAGTGCTGATGTTTAACATGCAGAGTGATGACTGTAGAATCTGAGATGGAGCTCTCAGGATATTTTGAGTGTCTCTGTCCTGTGAACTATCCGGCCTTGGAATGCACATGCTTTGGCATGCACTCCCTGACAGGTTGACGTACGTCCTAAATGTTTTCCACTAGTTGAAGAAAGGCCTTATAACCCATCCTACAGCAGCAGCCATTCAATATGGCCCTTCCCAGTCAAAAGCCAGCAGAATGGCAGCCCACTAACCTGCAACTCCCACCAAAATCCCCTCCAACTTCCAGTCACTGGTCCATTTTTTTTACTCTGACTCCACTCTTTCACCGAATTACAGGGTCTGACCAGGAGATGGTGCTTCTCTTTAGATCATAATGTCCATAAATCATTACAGAAACAATATTTTAGTACAAAGATTTCTGTAAAAATTTGAATTGAGAAAGCTTCCTGGAGAGGTGGCAAAACGTCTTCAAATCTTGGAAACCAAGTCCAGTGGATATTTTTTGAATTTTTACGGAATGACTATGACCTGGATGACTGAGAATCCTCATCAGCATACAGTACAAAGGACCAGCCAAGAACCAGCCAAGGGCCAGCCAAGGGCCTGCCAAGAACCAACCAAGGACCAGCCAAGAACCAACCAAGGGCCAGCCAAGGACAAACCAAGGGCCAGCCACGAACCAACCAAGGGCCAGCCAAGGGCCTGCCAAGAACCAACTAAGGGCCAGCCACCAGCCAAGAACCAACCAAGGACCAGCCAAGATCCAACCAAGGGCCAGCCAAGGACCAGCCAAGGACCAGCCAAGGACCAGCCAAGGGCCAGCCAAGGGCCTGCCAAGAACCAACCAAGGGCCAGCCAAGGGCCTGCCAAGAACCAACCAAGGGCCAGCCAAGGGCCTGCCAAGAACCAACTAAGGGCCAGCCAAGAACCAACCAAGGGCCAGCCAAGAACCAACCAAGGGCCAGCCAAGAACCAACCAAGGGCCAGCCAAGAACCAACCAAGGGCCAGCCAAGGACCAGCCAAGGGCCAGCCAAGGACCAGCCAAGGACCAGCCAAGGGCCAGCCAAGCGCCAGCCAAGAACCAACCAAGGGCCAGCCAAGGGCCTGCCAAGAACCAACCAAGGGCCAGCCAAGGGCCTGCCAAGAACCAACTAAGGGCCAGCCAAGAACCAACCAAGGGCCAGCCAAGAACCAACCAAGGGCCAGCCAAGAACCAACCAAGGGCCAGCCAAGGGCCTGCCAAGAACCAACTAAGGGCCAGCCAAGAACCAACCAAGGGCCAGCCAAGAACCAACCAAGGGCCAGCCAAGAACCAACCAAGGGCCGGCCAAGGACCAGCCAAGGGCCAGCCAAGAACCAACCAAGGGCCAGCCAAGGGCCTGCCAAGAACCAACTAAGGGCCAGCCAAGAACCAACCAAGGGCCAGCCAAGAACCAACCAAGGGCCAGCCAAGAACCAACCAAGGGCCGGCCAAGGACCAGCCAAGGGCCAGCCAAGGACCAGCCAAGGACCAGCCAAGGACCAGCCAAGGGCCAGCCAAGGGCCAGCCAAGAACCAACCAAGGGCCAGCCAAGGGCCTGCCAAGAACCAACCAAGGGCCGGCCAAGGACCAGCCAAAGACCAGCCAAGGAAAGTGGGGAAATTGTGACTGGCTATTACTGTAGATTGATGGCCGGTAGATGTTTGTCACTACTGGATGTTTTTTCCTCTGTTGTAGGACCCTCCTCTATGCTCCATTACAAAAAATAAAATTTAAATATATTTATCTAGTGGAACCAACAGAAGAAATCCTGTTCTTGCTCCCGCCTCTGTGCAAGATTTTCCTCATCCGATCTGTAAGTCCTTTCTGTGTTTAACTTACCTCCACAATTCTAGAGAAAATGAGTTGAGATTTTAGTTTTTTTAGCAGTGAAGTAGATCAGAGCCTTATAGAGAGGGCGGAATGAGAGGCTGAGAGCTCGCGAGAGCTGTGCGTATGTAAAATGGCGATATACATGTAGTTCAAATCTAAACCACTCAGGTAAATAATTATAACAAAGTTACAGTTAAACAAACTTAGGCTTAAACATATTTTCAACAATTGTCCCGTATTTTACGAGGAAACAAACTGGACGAGGAGACCTTGACGAGCCTGGAGAGCTACCTGGACGAGTGTTTTGACAGCATCGTAATAGGGAAGCCTAGAGCCTTATAGTTGATTTTAAAGCAGAATGAAACAAAAAAAGATTTGAATGCTTTCTTACCGCCTTCCTCCTTCTGCTCTCCTCTCGCACTTTGATGCTGGAGGCCTCCACGCTGGCCCGACTCTGGACCCTCCTCCCGCTCTGCCTGCTTTAAAGACAACTTTTCCTCCTCGCTAACAAAAGCTTGTAAATCCACCAGAGACATGCCATTAAACACCTGTTGTAAAGAAACAGAAGGAAATAAAGGAGCAACAAATCCCAGCTTTGTTATTCTGACTGGCAAATAAAATGAATCTGTCATTTCCATTCTCCTGCAGGAGCACGAGAAATAACAACACAAAGATTTTGCAGCAGAAGCTTGAGCTGTGATCGAGTTCACGCACCGTGCCGCTCTGATCCCAAGCAAACAACACAGGAGGCCGGAAGTCTGAGCCGTTCATGAAGGGGAGGTTTTTACTGGAGAGTTTCAGGCGAGACCTGGGATTAGAAAAAATGATTTAACACTTTCAACTTTCAACCAGGAATCAGAGCCGGTCAGTAATGAGGTCTGATGTTTGCCGGCAGAGAACAAATCCTAGAAAAAGAGACTTTCTAGAGTGACTAAAGACTATAAACAACCATAAACTGCATAGAACTGGGATTCAAGAGAAGTTAAGAAGCTCTGGACTTTGCTTTGATAACTTTGGAATTCCTTGAGTTTTTGATATAAATATGAATAAATAAAAAAGCTTGAATGTTTATAGGGTGGGGCTCCTCCATTTAGCTGGTTCTGACAGGGAGGACAGCTTCTGTTCAGTGGAGTTTATATAGAAACTGCTTCTACCAGATGATGTCACTGGGCGTGGCAAAAAGAAAACAATCAACAAAAATATCAATATGTACCTGCAGTCTGATAAAACAAAATGTTTTTAACCAGTTATTACAACCAGCTTCTCCTGTACATCAACATTTCTTAAAATGTATTTACTCTTAATTTGAGCAGGTAAATAAGACAATTTGCCAATGGAATGAGATTTCTTACTCTTAAGGTAAGATAATACACCTTTGTTTCTAGATGCTGGAGCTTGGCCTGTTTTCCAGTGTAGTCCTGTTTCTCTGACTGTGACTAACTGGATGTGCTCTCTTCATCCTATGACATGGGAGCTGGCTCGGAGCTCGTCTGCCTGGCTGTGTGTTTCCTGGACGGGGCCGCCTGTGGAGCTGGTTGACAGTTGCCTTTTGTATCTATGCTTCTTTTTCTATGTCTGCTTCTGTCTCCTTGAACCCCAGTGGGCCTCAGCAGATGGCCGCTCACACTGAGCCTGGTTCTGCTGGAGGTTTCTTCCTGTTCAAAGGGAGTTTTTCCTCTCCACTGTCGCTACAAGCATGCTTAGCGTGAGGGATTGCTGAAGAGTCAATGAGTCGATGCAATCAGCTGGTTTTCCTTAGATAAAAAAACATTAAATCAATCTGACTGGATGATCTGGTGAACTGGAAAGTGCCCTGAGATGACATGATGGGAATTTGGCGCTATAGAAATAAACTGAATTGAAATGAAATAATTAGATAATATGCACTTGAAATAAGACATGCAATTGTTTTTTCTTGTTTTAAATGTAAATCGTCTCATTCCCATTGGCAAAGTGTCTCACTTACCTCCTCAATTCAAGACAAAAATGCACTTATTTTAGGAAAAAGGTACTTCTATAGATTTCTTTTTTTTTTGGATTGTGGTTATAGATTGACCCCCAAATAAAGAGCTGTCCCACCTGCTCTTCTTGTCCACACCCAGCTTCCCTCCGTCCACCTCGCTCTCGTTGTCCTCTGTGGGGCTCTGAGGTTCGGAGCGAGGGAACGCCGTCTTCAAGGTGTCTACAATCGCATTCACCACAATCTGCAAGGGCAAACACAAAAACAATCAACTCCAAACCTTAGCGATGCGTCCTACCGTAAATTTAGGCTGCAGCTGCTGATGTCAGACTGAAAGTTGGAATTATGTCCTCAGATCAAATCTAAACATGTAGAAAGAATCTGTATAAGTCAGAAACACGCTGCTGGTTATACCATCGCTGCCCTCTGATTGGTCAGTTTGATATATCAAGGAGTTCTTCCTGAGGTTTAATAACAGAACAGAAACTTTTAACACAGTTTGGGAATCTAATGCTTCTGAAATTTATAATCCTAAAAACTAAGTTAACATAATAAGTTGTTTACCAAAAATGTATCTTAATTCACTAATTTAAATGTGTTTAAGTCTATTAATGTTTCGTTGGGTCTAAGCTAGGACAGCAACAACGAATCGATAAAATCGATAAAAATCGACTTTTAAAAGCATTGGCAACAAATTTCATCATCGATTAGTTGTGTCGCGCGATTAATGCGTCATCCGCCGCCGTCATCACTGCCACTTGATTGAAATGCGGGAAGAAGAAAAAAATACGGCAGAGCAAGCCAGCGCTGCAGGTGAGCAAAGGCTGTTTTCAAAAGGCAGAAACGTCAACTGTTCTAATAACCGATAACGCAAACGCAAGCTGCGTCTCAATTCGCAGACAGCCTGCGCTTTGTAAAGCGAAGAAAGTCGTAACATGCAACTTTTGTAAAAACAAATGAACATGGCACGGAAGCACCACTGTTATGATGCAGCACCTGAAAAGGATCAGCAGGATGAGCGGCCATGTTTGTTTGGTTTTAAAGTGGGGAAACGTAACGTTAGTTTCTCAGGTAGCTCATCTGATGCTTTCCTTACCGTGTTAGTAGGTTACAGACAGTGATAAGGTTGGCTACTTATTTTACTTTTAATTTCATTTGAATTAGCTTAAGCAGCGTTTATATTTACTTTATAAATAAATTAACTTGCAAATTATGAGGGCAAGGCTTTTAAAGTTTAAATCTTCTTGCAAAGATAAAGTAAAGAAGATCCTGCAATTTATGGAAGTAAAGCAGAATAAAATCCAGCAAGATCAGTAATATGTCAATTAATTATCTGCCACATTCCCATGTAAATATCTGTCTTTGGAGGATGTGTTTTTTAGCACCCCTAGTTCTCTCATTTTTATTCCAAATACAATTTATAATTTGAATCACAGGGCTATTTTTATCTCTATGGTTCAGTATTTTCTCAAGCAGCAACTTTAACTGCTATACTTTCCTGTCTTAAAAGGCAGAACTCTTCTAGTCTAAAAAAACTCATTTGTTGAAATGGGGGGGCCTATTGTTTGAACGCCTTAGGGGCTTTAAAAAAAAAAATGCCTTTTTTTGCGCTTTATGAAACAAAGTAGGCTATATTTTGTGGATGTACAGCTACATTTCTCATGTAAGTTTGCGTAGTTTTAACACAAACATTTATTTTTCATATTGCACCAGTACAGTTAATGAGCAACCTGTACTTGTGTGCTTGTTTGTTCTGTCTAAAATGTTTATTTTGGAATAAAGAGCTTAATATAAAAAACTTTTTTTGTCCGATTCATCGATTTTTAAAATAATTGTTAGTTGCAGCCCTAGTCAAAGCTTTTTTTTTCAAACCACTCATTCAGGCTGATCAGCTTTAAAAAAAATTATGTAATAACTTTTTCAGGAAAAAAAAGGAAAATCACAACTGCCAATAGAATAAGATTTATGTTTAGGATGGAAAAATAACAACCTTATCATATTTAATAATAATAATATTGGATTATCTTATTCTATGGGAAAACAATCCTAGTTCCCCTGGCAGATCATTTCAGATTCGTTTTTCAAATTAATAATTTCTTAAAATAATCTAGAAACTGATTATTTCATATTCATTTAGATCAACACTGAAAAGATTGTGCATCTAAACAAGTCGTACAATCTAAGATCTAACCAAGGAAATCTGTCTGTTCTTGTTTTGAGATCAATATAAGAGCAGATTATGTCAGATTATTAATCTTCTTTGAGAAGATTCTGCTAAAAATAATGCAATAATCTGAGAGTGCAGTCAGACAATTTCACCAAGTAAGACTGCTTGTTTTGAGAACATGTAGATTAAAAGAAGATTAATAATCTAAAAGGATCTGCTCTTATTTTATGTTTCTTCAAGAACAAACAGTTCCTTCCAGTTTCTTTTGGGAGAAACTTGGAAGGTCAAATTTACTGGAAAGTTTTGTTTCTTTTGGTGGATATTTTGACTTAATCAGACCCAGATCCAGTAATAACTTTGAGGTAGGGTTCAATACAGTGGCGGCCGGCCCATAGGGGGCGCTGGGGCACCGCCCTCCCTGATAAGAAGAGAGAAACGTAAAATATATTTTTAGAAATTAACTCATAAATGTCAGTTTTACTCTCTAGACTGTGTACCTATAAGCAAAACAAATTATATAAACTACATTTCCCTATCTACTGTCATTCATTTGTGGATTTCCACAGACAGACTCCTACCGTCTCTGTTCTGGGGGCGCTGATCAGACAGCCCCACATTTGCAGAGAATCTGTCAATCATGTACTATTGCTAGGTGAATTTAATGGCCAATCAGCGTCTCAGAACTTTATGGTCTTGGGGCGCTGAAAATACTGCGCTTTAACAGGCTTCTGAACCCAAGCGCAGGTGCAGACAATTAGAGGGACGATGGCGAACGTAACGAACGAGATGCAGCTTCCACCAAATTCGGTGAGATCCTTATTTATCTACATGTTTGCCAGAAGAACATCCCTGTTGTAGGATATGAAAATTTCATGTCATGGTTATTGTGACTGTGACGAATCCACCTCGTCGCTTAAAACAACCTCTAACTTTGCGCGCCACACACACATTCCTGTTATACTGTGTTTGTGAGGACCAATACACTCGCGCTGAGACCAGTAGCTCCATGAACTTAAAACACACAAGCTGTTCCTGGTTACCTGCTGGCGTATTGAGGGTGCACACTTAATATTTCAGTGGGGTTAGCCGTGTGTGTGTGTGTGTGTGTGTGTGTGTGTGTGTGTGTGTGTGTGTGTGTGTGTGTGTGTGTGTGTGTGTGTGTGTGTGGGTGTGTGGGGGGTGTGGGTGTGTACGTGTTTATGCTACGGGGACTTGTCATCTTCAGTCTGGCTGCGTCTTTGCTGGGTTCAAACCCAGTTTGGTGTAATTGAATAAGTCAATGAATCTGTGTAAAAGAATTAAGTTGTAAAAATTATTTGTTTCTGTACATCAATTGTTTGTGGAGGTAATATATGGACAAAACTGATTAATGAGAAGAAATCAGAAATAAGAGAGCCTGAGGGTAGGGGCTTAAACTATTTAATGAGGGCTGTGGGAAGAAAAGCGGCAATTTTTGTTTTCTGTTTCTTTGTTACATTGCTGGTAACTGGAGGGAGGCTGAGGCCCAGAGTATCTTGTATATGTTTAGTTTCTTTTGCACCCTGTTTTGAGTTTTTGAGCACAATAAATCACCAACACCGGTAACCCGACTGAGCCTGGATTCTTGGAGGCCAAAGAACCCCGTCACAGTGACCCAAATCATCACTGTTACTGTTATTATATAGTAAATTAAATCATTACTGTTAAATTGTATGTATTGTCCAATTGTTTATTTGAATTCTTATTCCGGATTAGTTGGAGACATACACTAGGCTATATCAGCCCCACCAAAAATATTTTTCACCAGCCGCCACTGGTTCAATATCTATAAACCAGCGGAGTTTATAAGGCTTCAAAACAATGAGCTGAACTACTGAACTGGATTTACTGCTAAACTGGATTTACTGCTATATTGCTGCTGTTCTGTCTGTATAAACTCAGTGTTTCAATACGGTTGTTACTTTGCAAGTTTTGTGACCAATAGTTATTCATTCCTCTAGATTTGCATTACATACACTTGATTAATGATATACATTTTTAATTTTAGTCCAGTTTTAGTCCGTGAGGCAGTCACCCTGTCTACTTTTAAGGCTAGACTTAAAACATTCCTTTTTGATAAAGCTTCTAGTTAGAGTGGCTCAGGTTATCCTGAGCTATCTCTATAGTTCTGCTGCTATAGGCTTAGACTGCTGGAGGACGTAGGGACCCCTTTTTCATCATTCTGCTTCATTCTATCTCTATTCTCCCACTCTGCAGAATCTGTTAGTTCAATCTCTAACGTTCTGCTCTCTCTGCTTTTTCTCATAGTAGCTTCATCTGGTCTCTTCCTGTTTGGCTGTGACTCCATCCTGGAGAGAAATATCAGCTGTACTGCTGCCATCAACACCTTTGTTTCCAGATGTTGGAGCTTGGCCTGTTTTCCAGTGTAGTCCTGTTTCTCTGACTGTGACTAACTGGATGTGCTCTCTTCATCCTCTGACATGGGAGCTGGCTCGGAGCTCGTCTGCCTGGCTGTGTGTTTCCTGGACGGGGCCGCCTGTGGAGCTGGTTGACAGTTGCCTTTTGTATCTATGCTTCTTTTTCTATGTCTGCTTCTGTCTCCTTGAACCCCAGTGGGCCTCAGCAGATGGCCGCTCACACTGAGCCTGGTTCTGCTGGAGGTTTCTTCCTGTTCAAAGGGAGTTTTTAGGGATGCACGATATTGGGATTTTGGCCGATATCCGATATGCCGATATTTTAAAACTCATGTAGCCGATAACCGATATCGATACCGATGTTAAAGCTGGACAAAAATAAGTAGTCATTGAAAATAGCAGTTTTGTTATCCATTTCTGACACTTTGAAAAATAATAAACTCAAATATTTTTTCCTATGCTGATATCAAATAGATTTTTAAAAACGCGGTATCGATCTATTTTACTTTCAAAATCTCGTGAAATTTCATCGTTCTGTTACAAACTCTCGTGATATTTTGCAAATTCTTGTGAGATTTTGTTAGTAAAATAGATCGATACCGCGTCAATATATCAACATATAAAAATATGGCAAATTTTGTGAATTTTCGGGGGATTTCGTAGCATAACGATGACATATAGCATTATTTCATTAGTAAAAGAGATTGATATGGTGTTTTTAAATGGCAATATATCAGCATATGAAGATATTGGGATATTTTAATGTATCAATATTTTTTCCCTCGTCTTTAGAAGTTTTTAAGTCTGTAAAAAAAGAAGTTTTTGAGGAAGAAGAAGTTTTTTTTTTTTTTTTTTTTTTTTTTTTAGAACTTTTTTTTAGACTTTAGAAACTCAGAAGCTGATCAAATATCGGGTTAAATATCGGTGGGGTGGCCGATGTCCGATATTCAGTTTTAAGGCCGATACCGATAGGGGGCCGATTATATCTTGCATCCCTAGTAGTTTTTCCTCTCCACTGTCGCTACAAGCATGGTTAATGTGAGGGATTGCTGAAGAGTCAATGAGTCGATGCAATCAGCTGGTTTTCCTTAGATAGAAAACTGAATCAATATGACTGGATGACTGCTGACATGTGTTGTGAAATGGCGCTATAGAAATAAACTAAATAGTAGCCTGGTGATAAATTGAGTTGACTTTTCAATGGAACTATCCCAGTTCTCCAAAATATGATCTATTACCAGGACTTGCTTCCACTTGTATGGAAGCCATAGTTTACATGTTAATGGTCTCGTTCTTTTTTTACAGTATGGAGAGCTAAGAATGTGTAGACAGCACTGCCCTAAAATCTATTCTCACAACCGAATCCTGACAAAATGCTTGAACCTTGTCTATGCGGGAAACGATGAAGGGTTTCTTCACAAAGGCAATCCTGGCGTCCGTGTTGAGAGCAAGAAACTCCTGCATCTCTTCACTGTTGGCTATTTCGGAGATGGCACACAGTTGCTGCAGAGATCAGAACAAACAGCATTTATCAGGCTGTCATTCACCAGATTTATAAAAAAGAAAAACACGTTTAAAAAGCCGCTGACCTTTAGGAAGGTTTCCAGGAGCCCCTTCCGGGCCTCGATCTTGTCACTGTCCATGTTTCCAAATGGCATGTCTGGAAAGATTTTCTTTGGACCTTTCACCCCTAAGAGACAAATTAAAGCAGCTTTATTTGGTGTAACGGTTTCCTGACCCGTTAACCATCTCAGGTCCGCTGGCGGGCCCCAGAGGCTCAACGAGGTTCATATAAAAACCTGCAGGTGGATTAATTTGTTGCCATGGCAGCACTTAATTCGCCATCTGATTGGCTGATCAGTCCCTCTTGACAACGCCTCTCCAGAGATTCTGGCTGAAATCGGACCAGTACAGAACCAGGACTAATCGCCTTCCTTGGACTTGATGGTGAAACCTTTTTTTTGTTAGCATTATGCTAAGTTCTCTGTTTAACCCTAACCCTTCCTTGGTTTCACATCTATAATGCATTTAACATTCTGGATCCTTATATGGGATGGAATTCCTCAGCTGAACCCAGACCAGTGGTGGAAAGGTGACAAGCACACTGGTCACGCTGGTTTCTGAGCCAAAAGACAGTCAACCATCATTGACGGATGTGGAGCAGCTCGTCTGAAGATGTCTTCTACTGAGCTGCTGCAGCAGCAGATGATCCTGATGGTTCATAAACTTTGGGTTTCTTTTGTTTTGGTTTGGTTTTTATATAGAATGAAGTCTGTTCCATTATTGTCGCAATACAGGTGCTGGTCATAAAATTAGAATATCATGAAAAAGTAGATTGATTTCAGTAATTCCATTTAAAAAGTGAAACTTGTATATTATATTCATACATTACATACAAACTCATATATTTCAGATGTTTATTTTGTTTAATTTTGATGATTACAAATGACAACAAATGAAAATCTCAAATTCATCATATCAGAAAATTAGAATATTGTGAAAAGGTTCAAAATTGATGGCCCCTGGTGCCACACTCTAATCAGCTAATTAACTCAAACCACCTGCAAAAGCCTTTAAATGGTCTTTCAGTCTAGTTCTATAGGCTACACAATCATGGGGAAGACTGCTGACTTGACAGTTGTCCAAAAGACGACCATCGACACCTTGCACAAGGAGGGCAAGACACAAAAGGTCATCGCTAAAGAGGCTGGCTGTTCACAGAGCTCAGTGTCCAAGCACATTAATAGAGAGGCGAAGAGAAGGAAAAGATGTGGTCGAAAAAAGTGTACAAGCAAGAGAGATAACCGCACCCTGGAGAGGATTGTGAAACAAAACCCATTCAAAAATGTGGGGGAGATTCACAAAGAGTGGACTGCAGCTGGAGTGAGTGCTTCAAGAACCACCACACACAGACGTATGAAAGACATGGGTTTCTGCTGTCGCATTCCTTGTGTCAAGCCACTCTTGAACCACAGACAGCGTCAGAAGCGTCTTGCCTGGGCTAAAGAGAAACAGGACTGGACTGCTGGTGAGTGGTCCAAAGTCATGTTCTCTGATGAAAGTAAATTTTGCATTTCCTTTGGAAATCAAGGTCCCAGAGTCTGGAGGAAAAGAAGAGAGGCACTTCATCCACGTTGCTTGAAGTCCAGTGTAAAGTTTCCACAGTCAGTGATGGTTTGGGGTGCCATGTCATCTGCTGGTGTTGGTCCATTGTGTTTTCTGAGGTCCAGGGTCAACGCAGCCACATACCAGGAAGTTTTAGAGCACTTCATGCTTCCTGCAGCTGACCAACTTTTTGGAGATGCAGATTTCATTTTCCAACAGGACTTGGCACCTGCACACAGTGCCAAAGCTACCAGTACCTGGTTGAAGGACCATGGTATCCCTGTTCTTAATTGGCCAGCAAACTCTCCTGACCTTAACCCCATAGAAAATCTATGGGGTATTGTGAAGAAGAAGATGCAATACACCAGACCCAACAATTCAGAAGAGCTAAAAGCCACTATTAGAGCAACCTGGGCTATCATAACACCTGAGCAGTGCCACAGACTGATCGACTCCATGCCACGCCGCATTGCTGCAGTAATACAGGCCAAAGGAGGCCCAACTAAATACTGAGTGCTGTACATGCTCATACTTTTCATGTTCATACTTTTCAGTTGGCCAACATTTCTATAAATCCTTTGTTTTTATTGGTCTTCAGTAATATTCTAATTTTCTGATATGATGAATTTGAGATTTTCATTTGTTGTCATTTGTAATCATCAAAATTAAACAAAATAAACATCTGAAATATATGAGTTTGTATGTAATGTATGAATATAATATACAAGTTTCACTTTTTAAATGGAATTACTGAAATCAATCTACTTTTTCATGATATTCTAATTTTATGACCAGCACCTGTAAACACTTTTATTAAAGTCGTAGAGAAGCGACTGTTCCAACGGTTGCATTTCCGAATAGTGGTCCCCGACTTTACACGAGTGAATAAAGTGAATATGATTGGTCGATTACCAAGGGGCGGGATTGTTGTGGCGGAAGGTTCGCAAGCACGTTTTATTGTGGCCGGTTTGTTGGAAGCATCGTGCTAACAGTTAGCAACTTAGTGCTAGTAGGTTCCCAATGGGAAATTCCATTGGGACCAAGTAGCACTAAATTGGTGCCTTAGAAACGACGCTGTCAAGGAACGCTATGGACAGCGGAAACATGCAAGAGGAGGAGAGTTTAGTGTCGGAGGTCGTGGATGAGTCTCCTCCGTCATCCATTTTTTATTTAGAGGAGGAAAGCGGGGAGGAAGATGTTGTGGAAGAGGACGCCAGGGCGGCAGAAGCTTGGTTTGGTGTAGAAGGCTTCCAGCCGTACATGTTTGAGCCCTTGCCTCGCAACGCTGCCAGTTCTGTTAGCTCTACGCCTGCTGAAGACACAGACGTCCATCCCCGTGAACACTGGGACGCAACTCAATGGGAAAGGAAAGGATTCTGGTTTCAACCGTTGCGTATATTAGCTGCGACATATGAATCAAGATGCTATGACTGAAAACATTTGATTGACAGATGACCGTTGATATATGATTGGCCGAATTTAGGTGTTCAGGCTGACGTAGAACTAACTGGCCTGCAGAAGATAACGGGAAAAAAACAGATTTTAAGACAGGTTTTTTTTTTATAGAAATTTTCTAACTAATATGGTCTGATAAAGAGTACATTTATTTACATGTTTAAGCGAAAATTATTTGAAATTTAAATAGACTCCCCTACAACTTTAAATGAAAATTTCAAAAATATGCAAATCAGAAATGAAACTTCTATATTAAAAAAAGATTTGAACACAGCCCAAAGCATTATAGAATTAGGCGAAAAATTCTCATCCTTAATCTGAGCAGGTAAATAAGATGATCTGCCAATGGAATGAGGATTTTTACTCTTATAATAAGATAATTAGATAATATGCACTTGAAATAATACTTTTAAATGTAAACTGTCAAATTATCTTTTTCCATTGGCAAAGTGTCTCACTTACCTCCTCAATTCAAGAAGAAAAAAACACTCACATACACACACACTAGGGGTGTAAATAATAATCGTTTTGTATCGATGCGTCGATCCAACAGCCGACGATCTGATGCATCGATTCGTCCGCAAGAGAATTGATTCATGTTTTGTTTTTTCCTCCGGTCTATTTTTATCCATTTGCTCCTGGGCGTAATTCTCCCTCCCGTGCTGCGGTGGCGCTAAACCTATTTTGCCCTCCTACCTCGCTTCCTGGTTATACTCTTACAGCAGTGTGTTACAGTGAGCTTGATGCAGACATTTTTAAATTATGCTCAATATTGCAGCGTGGTCTGTGCTACACGCTGTGGGTCTAGATACGGCCGAGGCGGCGAGGAAGTGGGGGCGAGTTTAGTCCGACGACGGAGGGACATGAGGGCCAAAAAGAGCGGAGATCCAGGTGGAAAAAGGGTCCCAGCGTTCTCGCGCACCTCGCTCTTCTAGCGGGTCAAACTTCACGAGTTGTTTTCCGCAATTTCGGTCATGAAAACAAAACAAGCCGGCCTCCTGTCTGCGGTCAGCTACAATCTGGGAGAGGAGCAGCGGAGCGTCTGTGGAGGGGGCGGGACGTCTGGAGCCCAGGTATTGCATTGGACTTATTGCACTGATTTTCTGCAGTATTTTGTGCAGTATTCTTTGATGCAACTTTTCTACTTCTGTTATTTGCTGTTGTTTCAAAAAAAAAAAAGCATAACGATATTACAGCTTTCATTGATTTATTTCAAACTTGAAACTTTGTTTAGCCTGTAAGGTGTAAAAAAAAAATTTTTTTAAATTAACCGATTAATCAAATCGAATCGTGGTGTATTCTTGAGTATAGAAAATAATCGAATCGTTGGGTCAGGAAATCGATACTGAATCGAATCGCCATGATTGATGTGATTTACACCCCTAACACACACACACACACCTATACTCGGTCTGCCATATGCAGCGAGGACCATGTGTTGACTCCTATTGAATTTAATTTAATTTCAGTCATTTTCAACCCTTTCTATGCCCTAACCCTAAAACTAACCCAAACCCAATTGATACCTTAGTCCTAAACCTAAACATTAGTAAAAAAACTTGTGAGGACCAGCAGAATATCCTCACTTTGCAACAACTGGTCCTCAAAATGATGATGAAATTAGAAATATGGTCCTCACTCTGAGGGCTAGACAGGTACAATCTAGAAATAAGTAAAACAGTTCATAAAGTTAGTGTATTTACCCTCAATTTAAGGAGGTAAATAATGGAATGATTAATTTAATCTTAAAATAACATAATTAGATAATCTGCACCTGAAATAAGACAATGAAGTTGATTTTTCTATGCAAATTGTCTTGTTCCATTGGCAAAGTGTCTCACTTACCTCCTCAATTCGAGAAAAACTACCTTTATTTTTTCAAAAAATCACTTATTAAGACCCCAATTTTTGCAGTGCAGTTGGAAATTAAAAGACGGCCATCTTTACCTTTAATGAGTTTCCGCAGTTCTGCTTTTTCCTCCAGCCGGGTCTGGAGGTTGAGGAACTCGCTGTATCTCCTGTTGACCATGTGATACGCCACCGGCTGGAGCGGAGCTGGATGCTCTGAGCTCGGCAGTAGAGACTCTACCAGCTCTGAAGCTGGCTGGATGCTCTCAGGGTTCTCACAGCCCACTGACGTCTCATACTGCAAACCAGAACAGCTTCATTTAGTTCGTCTAACATGGTGGAGGCCTCTAGATAAAGGTTAGTACGTTCACCAAGCATCAAGTTTAGGGCTACAACTAACGATTATTTTAAAAATCGATGAATCGGCCGATTATTTTTTCGATTAATCGATGAATCGGACAAAAAAATGTTTTTATATTAACCTCTTTATTCCAAAATAAACATTTTAGACAGAACAAACAAGCACACAAGTACAGGTTGCTCATTAACTGTCCTGGTGCAATATGAAAAATAAATGTTTGTGTTAAAACTACGCAAACTTACATGAGAAATGTAGCTGTACATCCACAAAATATAGGCTACTTTGTTCATAAAGCGCAAAAAAGACACTTTTGTTTTTAAAAGCCCCTAAGGGGTTCAAACAATAGGCCCCCCCATTTCAACAGATGAGTTTTTTTAGACTAGAAGAGTTCTGCCTTTTAAGACAGGAAAGTATAGCAGTTAAAGTTGCTACTTGAGAAAATACTGAACCATAGAGATAAAAATAGCCCTGTGATTCAAATTATAAATTGTATTTGGAATAAAAATGAGAGAACTAGGGGTGGTAAAAAACACATCCTCCAAAGACAGATATTTACATGGGAATGTGGCAGATAATTAATTGACATATTACTGATCCTGCTGGATTTTATTCTGCTTTACTTCCATAAATTGCAGGATCTTCTTTACTTTATCTTTGCCAGAAGATTTAAACTTTAAAAGCCTTGCCCTCATAATTTGCAAGTTAATTTATTTATAAAGAAAATACCGTAAATTCTCTAATATTGGCCTGTATTCCATTAGTGGCCGGGTCTCTAATAATGGCCGGTCTCGCTGTCAGAGGAGGTAAATAATGGCCGGTCTCTAATACAGGCCGGGGCTATAAACGTTTTTTCTGGGCATACCTCAACATTATACTTGTGGTAGTAACATACAAGTACCACAGCCCTGCGCAGCTGGACGACAGGCCCTGACTGCTGCCCGTCTGCGCGAGGAAGAGAACAGACACGCAGCAGAACAGGAGGAGCGCGAGTGATGAGGAGATTAAAGGGAGAGATGAAGAGGAGGAGAAAAACTGAGGAGGAGAATTAAACAGAATTGGAGGATTTTTATTTTTTTTTTTACTTCAAACCAAGCGAGACATGTTAACTGTACTTTTTCAATAAATGAACCTAGTGTTTTATAGGTTCAAATAGACACAAAATCTCATTTTTATTCATTCCACTGGTAGTCTGTTTTGCTCAAATAGCAATAGAGGCCTGTCTCTAATTCTGGCCTCTATCCAATAAAGGCCTGGACCGCGATGCACTTGAGTGAAATAAAGGCCCGGGCCTATATTAGAGAATTTACGGTATAAACGCTGCTTAAGCTAATTCAAATGAAATGAAAAGTAAAATAAGTAGCCAACCTTATCACTGTCTGTAACCTACTAACACGGTAAGGAAAGCATCAGATGAGCTACCTGAGAAACTAACGTTACGTTTCCCCACTTTAGAACCAAACAAACATGGCCGCTCATCCTGCTGATCAGCTCTCATCACTGCCATCGAAGGCTCCAACGTGTTTCCTTTTCAGGTGCTGCATCATAACAGTGGTGCTTCCGTGCCATGTTCATTTGTTTTGACAAAAGTTGCATGTTACGACTTTTTTCGCTTTACAAAGCGCAGGCTGTCTGCGAATTGAGACGCAGCTTGCGTTTGCGTTATCGGTCATTAGAAGAGTTGACGTTTCTGCCTTTTGAAAACAGCCTTTGCTCAGCTGCGGCGCTGGCTCGCTCTGCCGTATTTTTTTTTCTTCCCCCGTTTCAATCGAGTGGCAGTGATGACGGCGGCGGATGACGCATTAATCGCGCGACACAACTAATCGATGATGAAATTCGTTGCCAACGCTTTTAAAAGTCGTTTTTTGGCGATTTTATCGATTCGTTGTTGCAGCCCTAATCAAGTTTCATCAAAAGTTTACTGCAAAACCGACATCGGCCTGTTTTCCAGTGTAGTCCTGTTTCTCTGACTGTGACTAACTGGATGTGCTCTCTTCATCCTCTGACATGGGAGCTGGCTCGGAGCTCGTCTGCCTGGCTGTGTGTTTCCTGGACGGGGCCGCCTGTGGAGCTGGTTGACAGTTGCCTTTTGTATCTATGCTTCTATTTCTATGTCTGCTTCTGTCTCCTTGAACCCCAGTGGGCCTCAGCAGATGGCCGCTCACACTGAGCCTGGTTCTGCTGGAGGATTCTTCCTGTTCAAAGGGAGTTTTTCCTCCTCACTGTCGCTACAAGCATGCTTAGTGTGAGGGATTGCTGAAGAGTCAATGAGTCGATGCAATCAGCTGGTTTTCCTTAGATAGAAAACTTTGAATCAATGTAACTGGATGATCTGGTGAACTGTGCCTTGAGATGACATGATGTGAATTGGTTCTATAGAAATAAACTGAATTGAACTGAATTCAGAGCCTGAGCTACGTTACTCACTTTGATGGTGTAAAGCGTGTAGGGGTGTGAGCCGGTGCCACGGTGCTCCTTGGCTGTGATGGTCCCCGTGATGCGGAGGTTCTGGATGATGACCGGCCCCTCTGGGCTGCTGAGGGGCTCAAAACTGAAGGTAGACATGGGAGAAGAGCCCTGCAGCGGGTTAGCCACCATCAGCTCACAGGCGTTCACCGCTCCGCTCTGCTCCACGCCAAGAACAAGCTCTCTGCTTTCGCTTACTGCAGGGGAACCATTTTCTCCCCTCAGATCGGGAAGGCTGTTGGTGCTGCAGGTCCGCTCTGTGTGACCGACTGATGACAGGCTCCTGTCGTTAGGATTGTCCACTACTGCTGAATTCACCAAGACCTTAGGATGAGATGCGTCCACCGGACTCAAGGAAACGTCCTCCAAGTCTATGCCGTTGTTGTTCTCTGTAGCGGTGGTGCAGTCTCTGGCTCTGTCATAAAGACCATCCTCTAGACCTATCAGGAGCAAGGAATCGGTGGAGCTGGGTTTATAGTCTGCCAAAGGAGAGTCCGGGTCAGAATCAGTTTCTTGGTAAAATGGGTTGGACTTTCTTCCTCTCATGTAACACCTTAAAAAGGGGCGAGAAGCATCGTCTTCCTCAGAGAAAGTCTGGGAAAACCTGACTTCGTCAGAGTCGCTCACATCGTAGGCAGTGAACTCGGACGCGGCGGTTTCTCTGTCTTCGCTCAGCCCTGCCTCTGCTCTTTGTGAGGGTGCCTCACTGACCGCCGGAGGCAACGACACAGCCTGCTGAGGTGCATCGGTCTCTGAATCAGCAGCAGGCAGCGGGAGGGCGCAGATCTCTGGTTGAGGAGCGACTCTCTCCGGCTGGGCGTTGGATCTACCGAGGATTTCTATAACAAGGAGGTTTAACCAGTCAGGGTCGGACAGTTTAGCTACTAGAGGGAGGAGGACGTTACAGGTGATGAGCTCTCCAACCACAAAGCGTCCTGTCTGGGTTTCTAAATGAGGCGAAGGAACCAAAACGTGCAGCAAACAATCCACCACGGCGCGGACATAGTTCACCTCCGCTGCCTCGTCGCCCATGGCAACATGAGGCGTAACGATAGAGGAGTAAGCTTTCCATAACTGCTTCCTCTCACTGCGCTGCTGCTGGTCCTTCACCAGCTCCTTGGCTCTGAGGTAATCCTGCAGGTGTGCGCCCACCAGGTTCAGGACCTTCTGGGTCAGATCCTAAAGGAAAATAGAAAAGCTTTATGTCCGACTGATGATGCTCAAATCTGAACAAACCTCCTCTAATCTTCCTCAAGCTTCTTACCTTTCGGTCAACGCCTCTGGCCCGGAGTTTCAGCTCCATGGCCATAGAGATCATGGCTTCCTGAACCTCCGTCTCAAAAGCACTCTCCGTGGACACCGTGGAATACCATGAAGAGACAAAGTCTCTAATGATCTTTCTCACGGTGTGATGGATCTCCTGGTCCAACTGTTCCTCATCCTCTGCAGACAACTGAACCTGGATTGAAGTAGACAACAAATTATTTGAACTCAGAAATCCATTTTTCACAGACCTTCATTTTTATTTTCCATTTTATAATTTTGCAAGAAAAACAACATTGTTTAGGAAGGGAATTATTGTTTAACAGTGAAATAGCGAAAAATTACGCATATTGTTCAAAAAACTTGCAACACACATCAATCTGTAAAAGAGATTAGCTGTCAGTTTCTCTGAGAGGATCCTTTGGAGAATCAATTAACAGATTTAGCAATCTTAGAGGATGTTTCTAATGCATCGGCACCTCCAAAAGCTTCTTAGCAATATATCATGGGTCAGGTCCAAAGATATTGCCAAACTCCATCAAGTGTGTTTCTTAATCATACATGAAGATTTTATGAAAAGTTCCTTTTTTAGTCCGTGAGGCAGACACCCTGTCTACTTTTAAGGCTAGGCTTAAAACTTTCCTTTTTGATAAAGCTTCTAGTTAGAGTGGCTCAGGTTATCCTGAGCTATCTCTATAGTTATGCTGCTATAAGCTTAGACTTTTGGAGGACATAGGGACCCCTTTTTCATCATTCTGCTTCATTCTATCTCTATTCTCCCACTCTGCAGAATCTGTTAGTTCAATCTCTAACGTTCTGCTCTCTCTGCTTTTTCTCATAGTAGCTTCATCTGGTCTGTTCCTGTTTGGCTGTGACTCCATCCTGGAGAGAAATATCAGCTGTGCTGCTGCCATCAACACCTTTGTTTCTAGATGTTGGAGCTTGGCCTGTTTTCCAGTGTAGTCCTGTTTCTCTGACTGTGACTAACTGGATGTTCATCCTCTGACATGGGAGCTGGCTCGGAGCTCGTCTGCCTGGCTGTGTGTTTCCTGGACGGGGCCGCCTGTGGAGCTGGTTGACAGTTGCCTTTTGTATCTATGCTTCTTTTTCTATGTCTGCTTCTGTCTCCTTGAACCCCAGTGGGCCTCGGCAGATGGCCGCTCACACTGAGCCTGGTTCTGCTGGAGGTTTCTTCCTGTTAAAAGGGAGTTTTTCCTCTCCACTGTCGCTACAAGCATGCTTAGTGTGAGGGATTGCTGAAGAGTCAATGAGTCGATGCAATCAGCTGGTTTTCTTAGATAGAAAACTTTGAACCAATAATGTGGTTGAATTGTTTCTGTAAAGTGACCAGAGATGACATGATGTGAATTGGCGCTATAGAAATAAACTGAATAGAATTTTATATGATTCACACCACAGACCTTATTGATCGTTTTTAATAATTCTACTGTTTGCCCAAAATTGACTCTGTTTGCTAATTAGGAGTGTAATAAAGGTCGCTGGTGGATTTTACTTAGAGCTATTGGAGTTAGAACGGCTCAATATAAATGCATGCCTCACTTTTAAGATTGTTATCTACATGATGATATGCATTTTTCTTCTGTCTCAAAAAAAAAAACACAGAATCTCATGAATCATACCAAAATGTTGTGTTTTGTATTATTTTTATAAGCTTCTGTATTTACTGCTACACAAGTGGGCAAAACTCATAAAGGCGCCTAACAAAAGGAAATATAAAATGAAAACATGGATTAAGGAAGAAAGCCATCAGCGGAGCGATTACCTGTTCCAGTTTGATGAACCTCTCCAGGTGAACCACGTTGTTGGACTCCAAGATGGCCTGTGATCCGAACCAGCCTCCGAGCACCAGCAGAAGGCTGGTGAACACACACAGGAGCCAGATATTGACCAGCAGGTGGAAAAGCACGAGCCAAGCCAGCACCACACCAAAGCCCATCAGGCCCCTCTGTCCCATCACCTCTGCCATGGCCCTGGGCGCCCCCCAGGAGAGGAGCAGGGGTCATATATGACAGTGATACAACAGGCCTGGAATCAGACAATCAGCTCATGTTAAAGATCAGAGAGTGGCGCTCGCTGCTCTATGTCTTCCTTTAAGGGGCAGGACGGCTAAAGTTGCATAATCTTGAAAAACTTTTTTTAGAAATATTTTTTGAAAATATTTTGTGAAAAATAAGTTCCTTTTTTTCCAGGGACATGATCCATGTTCCTATTCTGGTGAAGCTTCTCAGTCATCCAGGCCATAGTCATTCCAAAAAAGAAAAAAAAAAATCAATCCACTGGACTTTGTTTCCAAGTTTAAAGACGTTTCTCTTCCATCCAGGAAGCTTTTTCAATTTAAACGTCAGAAATAGCGTTGAGTTCCAGGTTTTATCCAGCAGCCCAACAAAGCCTGGTTTTAGTTTAGAAAACATACAAATTGCTGAAGAAGGGACCAGGGGTCCAAAGCAAATCGCCTCTTCAGCCAGGCCAACAATCCCCCCCTTACATAGACAGGTATGGGGCATTGCAGGCTAACAAAGAAGCCAAACGATCCCCATTTCAAAGGGGGGGACCCGTTCATCCGTTTCTATTTGCATGTTTTCTAAACTAAAACCAGGCTTTGTTGGGCTGCTATATAGCGCTTTATTTAGCCACTTTTCAGACCCCTCTAGCACTTTGATTTCAAAAAAGCGCCTAGCGCCAAATCTAGCGGCTTTTTTCTTTGGAAACAACATCTAAAAGCAGCGAACTCTGCTCTCCAGAGCGAGTAGATTGGTAACCCCGCCTCCTGCTCTCCTCTATCTTGTCTGCTGTCATGATTCATGCAGCTATTATTTCGTCCAAATGAAAAATGGAGAACAGATAAGCAGATCATGGCTTGTCTACAGTGAAAAGAAGGACTGGGTTATTTACTTTGGCCTTTTTGGAAACACAGGAAGGAGCAATCAGCTAAGTGAGCTTAGTGCTTGGAAAAAATCTTTCATTCATTTAGAGACAGCATGAAAAGTCAGCTGAGTACAAAACATAGAGAGGAAAACAAGAAGAAAAGGGACAAGAAGAGAGGGACACAACCTAGAACAGATAATGGATGTCTATTCTATTAACATTTCTCTATCTGGAGAATGGGGCTGTTTTATGTGTTGACTGCTCAGTTCAGAGGGCCCCTGTCTGTCTTTGCCTAGGGGCCCAAATATCCTAAATCCGCCCCTGTCACACCACATCAAGCAAAGAAAATCTTTTGCATCTCACTGTGACTGAGGATGGGAAGCAGCAGACTGGGGGCATTTAGAAACATTCTGAAAGTGAGGGATGTTTTCTAATTCCGGGATTAAGAGATGGATGCAGAGATTATTTAGCTCAAATTAACTCAGTCAATTTAACAACTTTCACTGTTTGCATTCTAGTGTTTTCTGGCAGAGCCCCCTGGTGTCAGACATACACAGATTCTATTCTGCTCTATTTTATTCTATTGTCCTCCATGATGATTCCTGAGCAGGGAATGAACCATTTGTTTAGTAATATAATAGGCAGGTAGGAACCCGATGCTATCTTTGCTTTAACTTCCTATTTAACCCTTTTTTATGCCTCCATATGGAAACACTCAGCAGCAGCTGCTGGTTTTTCTTTGATGTTCTTTGATCTTGAACCGCTACATCCGACGGTTTTTCTAATAAACGCCATTAAAGCCTCCAGGCTCTGATAGTAGAGAAAAATTGTCACAGAGAGCCACGGTGGGTGTCAGCGGTGTGGAAAAAAACACGACATGACAGCTGGTTAGTCACAGCGAGCAGGAACCAACCAAACAACAAAGCTTAGCATCATGCTAAAGCTACAGCTAACATCATCAGATAACACCATTAGCTAGCATTAGACTCCATTAGCAGAACAAAATAATGGATAAAGGAGAGAAAAGCAACCTGTGCGATCTGTCATGGCTCTGAGAAACCGCTTGATGACGTATTCCTCCGTGTTTACTTCCTGTTTGAAGATGTCAGCGGCTAAAAGGCTCATGGGAAATGTGGTTTGATAACCATACAGCCGTATGCAGCCCACTGATCTCTATTTATTCACTGGATTGCTGATAGCCCTAAAAAAGTGAAGCCACCCGCCGCCATATTGGTACTCCCTAGTCCCACTGAGAAGTGTAGTAAAAGCATACTTGTGTAGCATTTGCTATCATCTCCATTTATTCACTGGATTGCTGAATGCCTGTTGGTAGTACGGGGTTGAGGGGAAGCCACCGGCCGCCATATTGGTACTCCCTAGTTAGACCGGTTTCAATGTAAACACAATCTGTGCCCTACAGCATTGAACAACGATGATGTTCTCATTGCAAAATATAGATAAATTCATCACTTTGACACAGATTGGCTGTTTCATAGCATCAGTAAATTACTTTAACTACATCACATGGCATAGTTATTATGAAGTCAGTGAAGTCTATAAATCATGTAATATAAAATATTATACTAATCCATCACAATAAAATTAATGTCTTAATGGAGCAAAGTAATACAGATGAGCCAAAAGTGCTAAATTGATGATGCACATGTAATATAGATGGATTTATGACATTGATATGGACATTTAAAGATTTAACATGAAGGCTGAATTACAAGCACGTCTCTTAATCGTAAAGTATTTTCTGATTTGCAAATTGTGCATGAATTATTCCATATATCTTTACACTGTATCTGTGCATTAGCCTTCAAATCTGACAGATATACAACAGAGCTAAATTAATCAACCAATTTAATAACCCCACACTAGCCAAATCACATCAATTGGTAAAATAACAGGCAACATGAAGTTCATATTTTGTTTATATTTAGTTACAACAAGAATCTGATCATTAGAAAAAACTATACATACCAGTACATATGCACACACTGACACTGACTGGGAAATTACCTGTGGAACGTCTTCCCACAGCTGGCAAAATGCTGGTTTTTGCAGCCAAATGCTACACAGGGAGGCATTTGTACTCCATGGAGTACCAATATGGCGGATGGTGGCTTCACTTTTTTTCGGCCAATCAGCAATCCAGTGAATAAATAGAGATCAGTGGTTTTCGCATTTGGATGCAAAAACAAGCAGTTTTTCAGCCAAGAAAATCCATCTATACGCTGATGGATCCTATAGTAAAGTCTGTAGACTAACATTAGTCTGGCTATCTGGGACTGACTGGAAGAGTTAGCCATTGACATTGAGTCTATGTTCAGAGATTAGAAAGGACAGGAAATAGAAAGTAATTCACTGTAAAATGTCAATGTAGTAATTCTTTATTAGAGTGGATGATGCTGTCGTTTTTGTAGAATTTGTTGTATTTCCCAGTTGAAAAAGTAATGAGCTGAAATATACTGCATGTTATATTGACCGAAAAAAAGCAACTGAAACATTATTAAAGGCTAATGCACAGACGCAGCATAAAAAAAGTATATGGAATCATGCATGAATAATTTGCAAATAGGGAAACACATTGTACTGTACTTGTAATTCAGTCTTGATGTAAAATCCTGACATTATACGTAGGATGTAATTACCATAACTATTTAATAATTCCATGTATATTACATGTATAACATCAATTTAGCACTTTTGGCTCATCTGTATTATTCTGCTCCATCAACGCATTAATTTTATTGTGATGGATTTGTATAATATTTTATATTAGATGATTTATAGACTTCATTGATTTCATAATGACTCTGCAATGTGATGGGCCTATTTTTTATTCTAAGATACAGTATCTACTGATGCTATGAAACAACCAGTCTGTGTCAAAGTGATGAATTTATCTTTGTTTTAAAAGTCTTAAGTCTGACTATAAATGGGAAAAATAATTGTTGTTCGATGCTGTAGCGCATAGATTGTTTACATCACGACCGGTCTAACTAGGGAGTACCAATATGGCGGGCGGTGGCTTCACTTCAACCCCGTACTACCAACGGACAATCAGCAACCAGTGAATAAACAGAGACCAGTGATGCAGCCACAAAAACATTTATACGGAACAGGACCATTGGGAAAAAATACAAAAGTTTACTGATTTTTTTTTTTTTTTTTTTTTTTATGGGGGAAAAAATCAGAATTTTCAGAAAAAAAGAAATTTTTCCAATATTAAAAAATCTGTAAAATCTTTTGTATTTTTTCCAGCGGCCCTTACAGCTAAATGAAAACTCTTTTATTTTCATCTCGCCTAAAGTGATCATGAACAGAAGCTCGCCACCCATGGAATGATATCATTGAACTTGTATTGATTTATTAAATAGAATCTGATTAACTTTAGATTAAATTACATTTATAAAATGTTGACTATATGTACAAAAAGTGAATTTACCTTAAGATGCTTTACCTTTATTTTTTACCAAGACCAACACTGACTAACTTCAATAGAAAACAAAAGCTTCACTATGTCCTCATTCAGCTGTAGCTGATGGTTTAATGAAGACTTAGTGAAGCTGTTTAATATATATTTAAAATTATTCAAAGCATTTAAATATCAATACACTGCTGTAAAAAGCTTATTTTTCTCCCTAAATATTTTAGAATCATCTGATAAAAAAGAAGAAAAGAAAAATAACAAGAAAAGATTAGTTAAATGATACAAATTTGACATTTTAGTTAAATGAGAAATCTCGTTTATTAGGCTAGATCAGCATCGTTTACAAAGATCTCCTTTTTGCTGGAGTTCATATAACATTCCCTGCTTTTTCTATTTGGAAAACATCCCTTTTCACACAAGCAGGATAATTAGAAAACAGAATAATTTTCCTCCTAAGCTTTTTTTCTGCAGTATAATCTATTCATCTATCAGTCAACTAATTTGTTCCTTATCTGCAGAAAATAAATAATCCGATAATCTGATTTTATAAAATCACATTTTCATTGGTGAGATAAAATTCACACTAAAGGATTGTAAAAATGCAAACTGTTTTGAAAGAAATAAAAACCTGCAGCCCAGAGTTGAACTTAAAATGGACATTTAGAATCATCTTTTTCACAAGAGGAAAGTTTAACAAAAAATGAAACTGGTTCTATAAAAAAAATC